TGTGTAGGTATATGATGGAGATTATTGAGAAGTGGGCTGTGGAGGAATATTTAGGGGATTAATAAAATGCAGGCAGTGAGGGGATATTGGGGGGATATTTAGGGGGATGGTTGAGGAAGAATACTTGATCCAGGAGGTATTGTTTTAAGAGAGATGAAGAGAGATGTGTATATTGTGGTGGAGTTAACTGGCCACACAACCATCCGGGTGCATGGTGTTGCACTTATAAAGCGAAAGAACAAAACGCTTGGCTGTGAGCCAATGAAGAAAGCACTGACGTCATAGCCAAACTGGACAAACGAGTTTCTGACACCGGCTGGATTTCATTATTCAAAATGACGGATATGTTATAATGTGCTAATTTGCCAAGCATTCTTTATGTGCACGCTTATGTTCTGTAACGGCTTTGCAATTTATGCTATACATACGGTTATATATTAAACAACGCGTTTACTTTGTGTGTCTTGAGTTACAGTAGCCAGATTAAGCCTTGTTTGATGACGTTCGTTTAAGGTTCTTTCTGCTATCTAATATTACATGTTCCAGCGAAAGGGTAGCTCAAATTCGTCGACAACGTCCACCGTCTACGAATGCCTACGAGCGAAAACAACTTCCGGTGCCTCCCCGCCTAAAGCAGCACAATTTTCAATGCTATTCCACTAGATATCATTGTCCCCGCAACATTTGGATTTGAGGTTAATTAAGTTGCGAGATCCTCGAGACCTTGAAACTATGGAAAGATCTAGAGAAATACTGTAATAATTTCTTGGTTTGGAGCGAGAAAGCCTCGAGTATCAACTCGCCATGTTCAAGGACGTTACTGATGATGATGGCCTTGAAGTGCTCAAAGCCTTAAGCTATATTGAAGAAGAAGATGGAAACGATTACCGTGTAGTAATGGGGAAGATGACAAGGTATCGCATCGGCGAAGTGACGTAAACGAGATTGTTTCAGCGCGAGGGAAAATTTTCAGAACGTTTGACATTTTATACCTACCAGCTGTAAGTTTTTTGTTTGATGTTTATTTGTTAAGAAAGGAATTTCAGGCATGTTATGTTCAAATGACGAGGACGAGGAGCGAATGCACATGTATCTTTTAAATAAGAAGAATTGATTATTAGGTGTCACCGGTCGATCGATTGAGGAAAAGGAAAATAATAAAATAAATTGATTGAAGCAGTGAAGAAAAGATCGCTCTTATATTTGTGTAATTTAACATAGTGGAACATACTAGATATGGTATGGGTTATATAAAACAGCACAATGACAACATATTTACCTGTCCGGTAATGACAAAGGAAGATCAAGAATTACGACCTATACACAGAAAAATTAAGGAAAAAATACGTTTCCGGAACAAAACCTAGTGTTTCCGTCCCCTCTAGGTCTGAATACGTCAGCAGAAACAAGAGAAAAACCTGTTTCCGGAAACTAACCTAGTATTTCTGTCGACATTCGGTCTGATTACGTCAACGAAAAAACAAGAAAAAAACGTGTTTCCAGAACGAAACCTTGTTTTTCCGTGAACGTTCAGGTCTAATCACGTCGACGGAAACATAAAAAATTCAGATTTCCTGAACGCTACCATGTGTTTCCGCTCATGTTAACATGAAGTTACGCTTGCGGAAACACTTGTTTCCTTCAACCGAAACCTGACGGAAACATGTAAAAAAGTGGTACGGTTCCGCTGTGACCGCAGCAACGGAAACACGAGTAANCGTGTTTCCGCAATGGTTTCACATATTTCTGCCACGTTTCCGTTTACGGATTCTTGATATTTCGTCCTGTGAACGTTCGACAACTTAATCGCTGAATCAAAAAGAACCTTAGCCAAGAGCTGCAATTTGTGTGATGTTTTACAGTTTCCACACGATACTCTCATCTTCGTTCGAATGGTCTTGGGATAAAACATGAGCAAAGCACAAAGCAGCCACTTACGATGACAGATCCCATGCCGTTAAACAAGTGTATCGACCTTCCAGCATCCGAGATGCAAATATAGGGATCTAAACAATGACAACGGTGACGCCGAGGACAATGCCTTGTAAACTTGAATTTGTCCACGATGCCTATGGTTCTAAAACCTCGCTCAGACTAAATATGTAATGACAGCGCTCAATTCTAAATGGAATTACGAAAAATTAACAGTTTGACTCATCGTCCACGTTCGTGGTCATTTTGCGTTGTTGTTTTGCAGAGGACGGCTATGAAATGTACAAAGGTTTACTGAACACACTTGTACAGCCTTTGTTTTGCTCATTAAATCTTTTGTTTGGTGGTGCTCATTGACGTCGTGGTTTGCTCCAGACTCCGTCCACACTACGCCGGAGGAATTTAAAAACGCATAAAGCTTTATTTCTGCGGTTAGGCTTACGGTCCAAAGTAATCCGTCACGAAAACGGAGCTTTTCAAAAACGCTCTTCAAACCGGATGAATTTGAGTTTTCGTGTGGACGGAAAACATTTTAAAACGGACCTTTTCGAACACGATAGGA